TAAGATGAATACCTGAAATAAATAAATACAGAGCAGGAGAGTTTTTCCTTGCAGCTTGAGTTTTTCATCAGGCACTGCAAGGCCTTTTTAAGCAGTGCTCTGTGTCTTTGTTTCAAAACAACACCCTAATATGTGCCCTTAACTTCAAATAACCATCTGAATTGTAAACTGGGCAAAACAGGATTCTTCTGCTGTGCTCATTTTTAAAAACACCCCCCCCAAACACACACATGCACACACAGGATTCCTGTCTGTTCTCTTCCCGTTGCACATAGGTCGCATTTTCAGCTTTCCACTTACTAGAGAGGCAGCTGTCCTTGTGCATGGAGCTAGTGTCCCCTCTTAGCAGATTTTACTCTTCTCTGTTCTATTAACTGTGTGTGTTCAGTTTTCTTGAGCACCAGTCAAGGGTGACGGTTGTGAAATATTATGACAGCCTTCAGTGGAAGCTTTCCGTGCACTTGGATAGTTTTTCCCCCAGTATAGTTATGTGTTGTGAACAAAATTTAACAGGGATCATTTTCATTAGCTAGGTAACCAATATTATTTAAGCAGATTTAGTTTCATATTTTAAAAAATTACTGATTCTAATTGCAGTTTTCTTCCTGCAAAACGTGCTCCTGCTTTCCTTTTCCCCGCTCCTCACTCACCTAAATTTCCCCTTCACTGGATTTTTTCTTCAGTCACGAATTATTTCTAAAGAATAATTGCTTCTTATTAATGGTCCATTAATTTCTACATATCCCTAATCTTCTAGACCGAGATTAACTCTTTTTATAGCAGAACAGTCAGGAGAGCAGAGTGGACTGTCTCACTCTACTCTGTTCAGCTTTCATTTCTCTAACTTGTCTTTTACTTTCTTTCCGTTTTGACTGAGAGACCCACAAGGACCCAGTGCCTTTCTACTAAGGAGTGTGGAATGTCCTTTGTGGTGCATAATTTTATCTTTGTTAGTTAAAAATTAAAAGGATTCTTGCCACTTTTGTAAAGATGTGTAAAGATGATGTGTAAAGGTGTGTAAAGATGATTTCAGAGTGAGTGCCTTTTATGATCAGGCCAGTTCAAGCGGGAGGTACCATACACAGAGCCGTCCAATAGAAAACTGTTCTGTTCTACTTCTCTTCCAAATGGTAGCCACCTGCCACGTGTGGTTACTGAGTGCTGGAGTTTTCATTGTATCTGATTTTAAATGATTTAAATTTAAATAGCCACATGGTAGTGGTTTCTGAATTGGGCTGTGCAGTTAACTAGATGTTAACTGACCTTGCCAGATGGGATCAGAAATGAAGAGTGCATTTTGGGTCTCATACCAGTTGCTTCAGACCTATCTGTTCTTGGTTTCTCCCTTACAAGCTCTGGTATTTGGTACTTCTCATTCACCCCCTCTCAGGTGTGCTCAGGCCACCAGGAACAGAACCGGCCCTTAGCTCCTGTGGTTCATATCAGGCCTCTAGGGCCATGGTAGAACCTACTAGCCAAGACTGACTTCTGGCTCCTGGTGGCCCTGGGGTACCCTCTCTGTCTCTGCCTCAGATTTGGTCATATAACTTGGTTGGAGGAGAAACCAGGTTGACTTAGAAGGCATTACCAGATCATTAGATGAAACCATGAGCTGTGCAGGGTTTGGGTGCGCCATGTGGAGAACTTTTCCACCAAGAGGTTGGCAGGGACTGAGAGTGCAGGCCGAGGCCAGGGAACTCCGTGGTGGGAGGGCGTTGAGCACCACTGCTGAATGGATCACGTTCCCTCTTTGCTAGGACGTGCTCACGAAAGTACATGAGCCTCCGCTCTGTTGTCCACCGTGCTCCTCACAACTCTGGCCTCACGTGTGGCCCGTGGAGGAACTCAGCTGCTTGTGAGTGAGATAGTACACTAGGTAATCTGATCAGTGCTTTCCAGCTCTGAGATACTGTGATCCTCCAGTGCCGACCCAGGAGGCAGAGGGAAGGGTAGTCCGCTTAACTAACAGACTTACCAGCCTTCCATTCCCCTCCCCCTCCACCATTTCAACCAAGACAGGGAGGCTTCTGCCTCCGTCTCTCATGACCCCATCCACATTGCCAGTGCCTGGGTCAGACTCTGTCATCTCAGGCCTGACCATTATCATGAGAGCCTTAGGGATCTCTGTCCAGGTCACCCGCCCTGGCTGGATCCATCATGTCACTCTCTTGCTTAACCTTCTCTGGTGTCTGCCTCGCACAAGCACAGTCTTAACTGCTGCTGGGGTTTCCCAGGTTGGATGTGTTGGGATGGGGCTCCCGCTTGCCCCTCCAGCCCCCTCTCTCTGGCCACTGATTGCCCCTAGCCGGGAGTGTCAATCAAACTCTACATCCGCTAGCGCCTCGCTGCCCATGTGCGTGTTCTTCCCTGTGTCCAGAACTCCCTTCCTCGCGGAGTCTGCCACGTTCACCCTTCAGTACTTGGCTCACACCTCACCTCTTCCCTGAAGCCTTTCCCAACCACACACACTTTCGGTGGGCTTTTGTTTCTCTTCCATTTCCATCACAGTGTTGATAACACTAATTCAGGTAGATCAAGTCATGTGCAAATAAACTTGGGGTTGACGTTTGGAAACTGAAGTGCACAGATCTTAAGCGTACAGTCTGATGAATGTTTACATATATACCCATGTAACCAACACCCAGATCAAGAAACTAAACATTTCCAGCACCCAGAAGTCTCCCTTGTGTCTCCTCCTAGACAGCAACCCCCAAAGGTGACCATTGTTCTTGCCTCTTTTCACTGTAGATTAGTTTTGCTTGTTTTGAGCTTCACTAAAATAGTTTTATAGTATGCACATTTTTACTGCAGCAAAATACACATGACATAAACTTGACCATTTTAGCCATTTTAAATGTACAGTTCAGTGGCATTAAGTACATTCATGTTGTACAGCCATCACCACCATCCATCTCCAGAACTCATCAAGTATATGCTTTTTTTGTGTCTGTTTTTTTTTTCCTCAAACTTATGTCTTTAAGATTCACCCATATTTCAGTTATCAGTGGGTCATTTCTTTTTATTTCTGAGTAATTCTGCATTGTGACTATACATACTACAATTTGTTTTATCCATTCCCTTGCTGATGGACAATTGGGTTATTTCCAGTTTTGTATTCTTTTAACTAAAACTGCTATGAACGTACTTGTACACATCTCTTGGTGCCCATACACAGGCATTTTTGTTGCATACATACCTAGGAGTTGAATGACTGGGTCAGAAGGTAGGCATATGTTCGGCTTTAGCAGATAGAGCCAAATTGGAAGTAGTTCCCTATTGCTGTTATAACAAATTACTACAAATTTAATGGCTTATAGCAACATGAATTTATTATCTTAAAATTTGGAAAGCCAGGAGTGCTAAAATCAAGGTGTTGGCAACGCCCTACTGGAGGCTCTAGGGGAGAATCCATTTCCTTGCCCCCTCCAGCTGCTAGAGGCTGCCTGCATCCCTTGGCTCATGACCCCTTCCTCCATCGTCAGGGCCAGCAGCATAGCATCGTAGTTTTTCTCTCCAACTTCTGCTTCCATTGTCACATCTCTTCCCGCTTACTCAAACTTTCCTATCTTCCTTGTGATTACATGCAGCCCACCTGGAAAGTCCTGGCTAATCTCTCCATCTCAAGAGTCTTAACTGAATTACAGCTGCAAAGACCTTTTTGTCATAAAAGGTTTTCACAGGTTCCAGGGATTAGAACATGGACATCTCTGGAGGTCCGTTGTTCTGCCCACCATTTTCTATCCTGAGAGTTCCAGTTCTTCCTTAGTCTTAGTCTTTGTCAGTCCTTGGTGTTTTTAATTGTAGCCACTCTGGAGGGGGATGAGGGACACATCCATGGCTGCCTCCCCCAGGCAGTGTGTCCTCCTCTGCTCTGATATAGATGTATTGTAACTTATCAGTATTATATTATAAATATTTGTTTATATGCCTCTGTCCTCGCCAAACCATACACTTCTTCATGAGACAAGTCATATAGTAGCTGGTTCAATAAATGCTCACTGAATGGTAAGTAATAACTGAGGGCAGTTTTCAGCAGAGAAGCAAGCAGAGCTCAAGGTTTAAGTGAAAGCCTGTGCTTACAATCCCATCTCTGGCTCAAGGTAGGTTTTTCTCCCAAATAAAAACAGGACCAGAGCAAAGAACCTGGTTTCTGGTTTTATAGCTTCTGCACACTGTTCTTTCCCAAGGTAGTTAATCTATAAGTGAGTAATGCCCTAGAAGGAGATTTGGGCCTCGACTCCTGAGGGCGTTGGTTGGAAATGACTTCACTGTGTATGTAAATGAGAGAGGGAGATGCAGTTCCGGAAGGCAGGCTTCTGGGGCGTCTGATCTTGGACCTTTTGCGGAGACTCGGGTTTTCCTTTTCCCTGGACTCTGCTCATGTAGCAGCACACTGCAGCTTCTCGCTCGTGGAAGGAAGGACCTTCCAAGGTAAGTAGAGCTTTCTTGATCTCAGGGAATGTCGTGTGTGTGCACTGAGAGCTGCCTTGGAAACTTGAGGCCGGGATTTCTGAGGAAGGTGAAGGCAGAGTAGAAATGAATTAGCCATGTCCCTGGACACAGCGGGGTGGGCGCACATGGCTTGGCACCAGGGAGACAGATCTGGAAGGTAAGGTTAGTGTTAGACAAAAGGTAGGCAGGACTGTGGCTTCCTTTGGAAACATCCTGATGTGAGTGACCACTTTCTGAGCTGTAGCTTGTTCCCCACTCTGCTTGGCTGGGTGCACACCTGGTTTCAGAAGGGCTGTCGGGTTTCGAGCCCTCAGTCTTATCTTTCCAGGCCGCCGAGGTGTTGGCTGCGTTCCCATGGCTTGGCGTTACTTTGACCCTCTGGGGTGTGGCGTGTGCATGAGGAACTTTGCCCTTGATGTGGCAGAGGACTTTTTTGGCCCTTATGGGGAAAGCTGTCTGTCATTGAGTAAGACCTGACTGGTCAGCACTTGGATTATAAAGGATTGGGTCTTTTGAGAAAAATACTATCTCAGGGTAGGAGTTACCATGACAGGCCTCTGCCAGGGTGACTGAGCCTTGTTAAAGACATGCTGACAGAGTCACAGCTTTGGTGTGACTGATATGGAAACAGGGCAGCCATGCCAGTGGGGGGCACGCCTGGACCCTGAGTGGGGTGACTGCTCCCCATGCCAGGAGGCTTGGGACGGCTGAATCAGGCCGTGGCCCTGTGTTTATGGAGTCCCAGTGACTTCCTGGATGTCCTCATCTCTCTGCCTGCTGCGGAGAAAGTCAGGTGGCTGCATGCCTGCCGAGAACCGTCCCTCTGAGACTCGGACCCTGCTCCCTCTCTGCTCCTCGTTACCTTGGACCCAGGAGGCTGAGAGCTTGGCCCTTGGGAATCCTCCTCTGCAGACCCCAGGCTTGGGGGCCCCAAGACTGGGGCGAGCTGCCGCGCAGGCAGGTGCGCGGTAACTCTTCCCAGGGCCTTCTCTTGGTCTCTGTTCATACAGACCTCTCGCCTCGAAATGCCTCTCCTCCTGCTGTGCCTCCGAGGACAGGCCGCACGCCCGCTCAGCGGCCTTTCCGCAAAGCGTCCCAGTCTCCGTAAGGAGACACAGGGCAGGGTCTTCTGTGGGACCCACTTCCTTAAGCCCGCCTAACAGGACTTGGCATCTGGCTTTTACTCCGGGACATTAGGGTTTCCCTTCTCTAACCTTTTGCACAAATTGTCCGTAGTATAGCCTCTTCACCTCTTTCTTCAGTTGAGAATTTACTGATGAGATGTCACCTCACACCTGTCAGGATGGCTTTCATCCAAAAAACAGAAAACAAATGCTGGTGAGGACATGGAGAAATTGGAATGGTTGTGCACTCTTGGCGGGAATGCAAAATGGCACAGCCACTATGGAAAACGGTATGGAGGTCCCTCAAAACATTAAAATAGAGCTACCATATGATCCAGCAATTCTACTTCTGGGTATCTATCCAAAAGAATTGAAATAAAAAATCTCAAAGAGCTATTAATGCTATTCACAGTCGCTAAAATGTGGAAAGAACCTAAATGTCCGTGGACAAATGATTGGCTAAAGAAAATGCGGTATATACATACAACGGAATAGTATCCAGCCTTAAAGAAGGACATTGTGCAATATGCGACGACATGGATGGCCCCTGAGGGTATTATGCTGAGCGAAATAAGCCAAATACTGCGTGATTCCACTGACATGAGGGTATCCCAAATAGTCACATTCATAACATCAGAGGGTAGAATGGTGGTTGCCAGGGCTGAGGGGAAATGGGGAGTTACTAGTCAATGGACATAAAGTTTCAGTTAAACAGGATGAATACGTTCTAGAGATCTGCTGTACCACACTGTGCTGACAGTTGACAGTACTGTATTGTACATGGAAAAGTTTATTAACAGTGTAAATATCATGTTACTTGTTCTTACCACAATAGAATAAAATTTTAAAAATAAAAAAAATTTTAAAGAATATACTGCTTAAGACCTTAATCTAATGAGATACTGGCGTGGCCACTAACTAGCTGTGGGGCCATGGGTTAGTTTATTGGTCTCTTCTAGCCTCAGGTTCTTGACTTACGACGAAATGGGGCTAATAACAGAGACTCCTCACAGGGTTGACAGGAGGATTATATGAGGTAGGCACAGGAAGCGCTTAGCGCGGCGTCTCGCACGTAACTGTGCTCCATGAGATCGGGGGTGTCGTCGTCGTCATCTGTGCACTGAGTACAAGGCTGAGACCAGATGTCTGGGCGGAAAAACTTTTTTTCTACGTAATATGCATTTGTATCAGTATACTAATATTGTTGTATACTGGGTGCTTTCAAGGACATAGTGACCTAGTGAGATATGCTTTCTCTAACGTATAATCCAAGTCTGATATCGAAAAGTACCGTAAATGGAAGTGTAAGACTGGACCATGAGGCCAGAGGTAAGCAAACAGTGACTTCTGGCTGGAGGACTGGAGACAGTCCGTGCTTGCGTGAGCCGCCACAGTCACTGGCACTCGGGTGCCCTGTGCTCAGCAGGACAGCACTGCCAGGTTCTCAGCAAGTAGTTACCGCAGGCCCATCTTCGCCACGCTTTCCAGCTTCTGCACGGGAATGGCGCTGCATTTTCTCCCACTTAGGGCTTAATTTATATATTGAAATTCTTAAAGTATACAGTTGTGCCCTACTCAGCGGCCTGCAGCCGGTGGCCTTGCTTTCCCTCTTCCTGTGAGGTGTGTCAGACTCTCCTCCTAGGTCCTGGTTCTCATTGTTCTAGCTGAGCTTTTTCTTCCCACTTTGAGCAGTTAGCATTTTTCCACAGAAGACACCAGAGAATAGAGGGACACTCTTATTTTTTGCCCTCCACCCCTCTTTGGCACTCACTGCTAAATGAAATAAAATTCAAAATTTAGCTCCTCAGTGGCACTAGCCACATTTTAAGTGCTCACTGGCTCCATGTGGCTAGTGGCTGCAGTGTTGCACAGCACAGACACAGAACATTCCCGTCATTGCAGGAAATTCCGTGGGGCAGTGTTGGTCTCGAGATTGTCTTACAGTCACAGGCTGTTTAATAGAGAGGCAAGCATAGGTGTTCATCCTCGCTGCGATGGTTTTGATAACTTCTTCCAAATGACCAAGTTGGATGTATAAGCGTTAAATCTAGATGCCTAGTCAGTTGAAACCTGACTAATGTAATTAAAATGTTTTCACCTCAAATTTGTAATGTAAAAAGGATGTTCATTTTCTGAAGACTGTTTTGTACTCCCTTACTACTTTGACGCAGATATCAAGTATAGGTTCTTAGATAAGAGGGCTCTGACTTTTTTTGAATTGTTTATTATTGTGGTGAAACATACATAACATAAACTGTGATGCTTTAACCATTTTTAAGTGTACAGTTCAGTGACATTAAGTGCATTCACAATATTGTATAACTGTCATCATCAATTTCTAGAACTTTTTCATCATCTCAGACAGAAACTCTGTAACCGTTAAATAACAACTCCCCATTTTTCCCTCCCCCTGGTACCTGGTAACCGATATTCTCTGTCTCTATTTTACCTTTTCCTATTGTAGATACATCCTCATTGTAAGTGGAATCATACAATATTTATCCTTTTTTGATTGGGTTATTTCACTTAGTATAATATCCTCAGGGTTCATCCATGTTGAAGCATGGATCTGAATTTCATTCCTTTTTAGGGCTGAATAATGTTCCACTGTATGTATAGACCACATTTTGTTAATCTTTTCATCTGTTGATGGGCACTTGGGTTACTCCCACCTTTTGACTGTTATGAATTATGCTGCTGTGAACATAAGTGCACAGAGATCTGTTTGAGTCCCTGCTTTCAGTTCTTTGGGGTATATACCCAGAAGTGGTATTGCTGGGTCATAGGTTAATTCTGTGTTTGGCCCTGCTTCTTGAAACAGTGGGAAAATTATTCTTGAGGTATATGATTCATATAACAAATTTCAACCTTATAAAGTGTACAGTTCAGTGGTTTTTAGTATGTTCACAAGATTGTACAGTCATCCGCAGTAGTCGCTGATTTTTATAGCCCCTTAGGAACCAGAGGGAGAGAGAATCTGGAAGGTGGCTAGAGTGTAAGGAAGGGGCCTTTCAGGGTTTGTGTGAGACTGTTTTAAAAAGAAGGATATTTGTAACAAATCCTTGAAATACCATGCAGGCTTTAACAGGAATACCTGGCCCACTGCAAGGCTTTAAGATGGAAATTCAGAAAGGCTCCCCTGCTACCTGACATATTTTCAGCTACTTATGAGGCCTTGTTTTATGGAACAGGGTGTTGAATAACCTCGCAAATGGGTCAGACTCCTCAGGATGCTCTGGAAGCCTGGTTCTGTAGGATCAGGAAGGCTTTTACATGGCTTCTTTCTGTCTCCTTGCACCTCCTGTGTTTGCTTTGTTTGCTTTGTCAGATGTCCTTCCCTGGCTTGGAACTGGTTCTATTCCTCCTCTGGTTCTGATCTCAAATCCTGCAACTGCTTGTGTTTCCAAACATAAAGTGGATTGTTTATAATAAATGCCTTAAATATTTGATTTTTAGATTGCAGATGCTCTGCTTTGAAGCAAATAATAAAACTCATCTACTTTTGTTACTATGTGCCATTCATACATACCAGGGTGCTCAGGTTTTCACTCGTTCTGGCCGTGTACTTGTGGTTTTAATATTTTATGCTTTAGGGATGGTTTTATTGTGGTTTTCTGATACTCTGCCAGCTTTTCTTCTTTTTTTGTATACCGTACAATTTGCCCATTCACAGTGTACAGTTCAATGATTTTTAGCATATTCACAGAGTTGTGCAATGTACAACCAATACCACAATCAATTCCAGAATATTTTTATACCCCCAAAAAGAAACCACACACCCATTGGCAGTCACTCCCCATTTTCTCCCAACCCCCAGCCCTAGGCAACCTAGCTGCTAATTTACTCCATCTCTACATATTTGGGGCCAGCTTCTTAGATCCTTGTTTAACAGTGATTTTCCCCCCTAAACTACAGTGTAAGCCACCCACTCTGCTTTCCTTCCCTGTTGCATTCTTATTGTTTTCCTCCCTTCCTTCCCTCCTTCCTTTCCTTTCCTCTTCTTATATTAGCAGGTTAGCTATAAATCCCATTTAAATACCTCTCAAAGTGGATGGGTTGGTGGATGGGGCACAGCTGCAGGAATTCATCCAACAGATGGACAGATAGCCATTGTTGAGCCCTGGAACGCCCTCCTAAGTCACCTGCCTTCATTCTGTTACTCTGAGGCTGGATTTCTTTTTTTTTCCCCAGGTTTATTGAGAAGTAATTGACATACATCACTGTATGTATGTGTTAAGTTTAAGGTGTACAGTGTGATGGCTTGATTTATATATGTAATGAAGTGGTTACCACAGTAGGTTCAGCTAACATCCATCTTCTCATATAGATAGAATAAAAACAGGGGAAAAATTTTCTCCTTGTGATGACAACTCATAGGATTTACTCTCTTAACAACTTTCCTATGTAACGTGCAGCAGTATTAGTTGCAGTCATCATGTTGTACGTTACCTTCCTAGTACTTACTTATCTTATAACTAGAAGTTTGTACCTTTTGACCACCTTCCTCACGTTTCCCCTTCCAGGTGGACTTTCTTTTCTGTGGCTGGGCTGTGGGGACCTTGAGTGCTAGGCCAGTCAGAGCCACAGGGCTGGAAGCCGCTCTGGGATTAACCGACCATCCTGTGTGAGTAACCGCTGGAACTGAAATCAAGTGCAGTTTCTAGATGTGTAAATTCAGTCACTTGTTTCTTCTCTGACAGAAACAGTATTTGTTAGTCACTAATAGTAGAGCAGTTTCAAAATCTGCAAATACGATTGACCCTTGAACAAGGCAGGGGTTAGTCCTCACAGTCAAAAACCCACATATAGCTTATAGTCATCCCTCGGTATGCATGGTTCTTCCCTGCATGTGGTTCCTCTGTATACGCGCTTCCACATCCGCAGATCCAACTAACAAGGGATCGTGCAGTACCGTAGTATTTACTACCGAAAAAAATCTGCTTCTAAGTGGGCTTGCGTAGATCTAACTTGTGTTGTTCAGGGTCAACCGTATCAGTATGTAGTGTGCTAATTGCTGTTACTTGCAGTAAGAAAATATAGGTTGCACTTGGATGTAAGTAGTTTTTTCATTCAGTGTAGCTTTTTGCTTACGTTTGTAGCCAGATGCCTTGATTTTGAATCCTGGTTCTGCTGCCTTTATTACCTAGGTGATCTTGAGCAAGTCACTTCACCTTCCTGGAAGCCTCCTCTCCTCTGTGGAAGGGGAGAGTAATAAATCCAACTGCATAGGTTGTTGTGAGATTTAAATAAGAGAATGTGGAGATTTCTGGTCAAGATGGTGGAGTAGTAGGACCACGAGCTCGCCTCCTCTCATGATCACAGCAAAACCACAAGTGGCTGCTAAACAACCATCAATTTTAAAAGACTGGAACATAGCAAAAAAGATCTTCAACTGGAAACATAGGGAATCACAGCAGGATGATAAACAAGTTTCTTCTGTGAAGCACAGGGAACTATATTCAATATCTTGTAGTAACTTATAATGAAAAAGAATGTGAAAAGGAATATACGTGTGTATGTGTATGACTGAAACATCATACTGTGCACCAGAAATTGACACAACGCTTCAAACTGACTAGACTTCAATAAATAAGAGAATGTGTGCAAAGCACTTAATACAGCACCTGGTGGAGAGTAAGAGCTATGTAAATGTTAGCTAGTATAAGAGGGCATATTTTATTGTGTGCCTGCTGTATACAAGGCACCAGGCTAGGTTTTGCAGGAATAAGCCAAAGCCTTGTGAATGGAATCCGAGCTCTGTTGATGTTGCAGTCGTGCCTCAGCTTGGCAGTTAACACTGGGGAAGCAGAGGCTGGTGGCGTTCACATTTTACTCGTCTCTTTAGACTATAAATTTATTAAATACTTTTCAGGACATACTATGTTTCATTATAAACATCAACACAGGAAAGATTTGGCTAAGTTTAGGTTCTTGCTGGAAGTTGTAGATATTTTAATTTCTTGTGGGCAAATTAAAACGTTTTATCATTTACTGTTGGCCACTGGTAGCTTAATCAAGGCAAACCATCTTCCTCAGAATAAATAACCTTGACAGAAAGGCTAGTCAGGGTCCTACTTAATGAATGTACTAATTCATTTCGGTGTTGAGCCGGGGCAGTGTTGGCTCGCAGCACGCTGCCTGTCTCCCGTCCAGCCACACCTCCTGCTGCTGCGATGCAGCAAGTGCCGGCAGGCCCTCTCTGTGGAATTTCTCAGGCACGTGAGAGAGAAGCATGGTGTACCCTCAGGACAAGATCTGTCCTGCCTTTCCTTGTGTACTTTGGTTGAGAGAAATAGAATAAGCTCCTATTTGGGGAGGAGGTTTGGGTTTTGTTTATTTCTTAGAAAATGGTGGGCGTACTCATAGTACAAGCTTTGTATCAGTTTTAGGCTAGGAGGACCACTTTTGAGCTGACTCCAGATGTCAGAGGGTCAGCTGGAGTCTGTGCAGGCTCGGCCTTCAGCCCCCCAGGAGGACAGAGGGCAGGAGGCGGGTGGCAGGAGCCAGGCCTTGGAGCACCTCCCAGAGGCATCATCACATGTAGCCTCAGGCCCTTGTGTTGTCTTGGAAGAAAGTCTTTCAGGCCCTCATGTTCCCATCAGTAAAATGGGATGAGTGATACCTACTTCTTGGGGTTGTATTAAGGACTAGAAAAATACATCTGAGGCACGTAGCACACTGCCTTCCGTGGGTCAGAGCTGATGAGTAGCCATTCTAGGCCTGGAGGAGACCAGCAAGTTTGCTTTGTGGCGCCTTCAGATGAGCACAAAGACCAGGCCAGTCAGTTTCTTTTGGTCAAAATAACATCCCTCAGTTATCTCATCCAAGGAGAGGGAAAAAAAGCACGTGTGACACGTATGCTGACGCTCCTCTGTCCCATCTGCTCCATGCCAGACTCAGTTCATCACCTGGAAGTTGCCTCGACTTTCTTCCAACACCACGCTCTGGACAGACGTTGCCAGTCGGTCAGGGTCAGTAGGAGTGACACAGCCAGGTTGTCTCCCCTGCAGCACGTTGTGTGGGTGAGGCTGCTGACCTGCACCCTGACTCTTCCGTGGCGGTGCCTTTGAACATGCTGTCTAAACACGAGCCTGGCGGAATCACAGTCCTGTAACTGTCTTTGCTCTGTTTTACAGCAGCTGGTCTTTTCTACATGTCACCTGTGTTAGTCCTCGTTTTTTTTCTAGCTTCTATTTCAGCGGCATCTCTTTTAGTGTAAAAATCCCCAGAAGGCATTTCTACAAATGGCCTTGACAGAGCCTAAGGACACGTGCTTAAAAGAAGCTCTTGGTCCACTCTGCAAACATTAATTGAGTGCCTGACATGTGCCAACCGGTGATGTGTGGCAGATACAACATAGCCCTAGTTTTCCAGAGCTCAGTCTGCAAAAGATCAAAAGTGGACAAACCGTTCTTTTATTTAGTCCTTCCCTCCACCCTGTGGCAAAGGCAGAACTCAGTTTACAAGGAAAACGCTGGCTGAGAGAGCTGTTTCAGTTTACTAAGCAGCTAGTGCATGGGGCCAGCATCGTTTTTAGCAGCATGCTGGTACGGGCTTTGGCTGGGGACAGCCCCTTGCTGGCCAGCAGTGGGGCATCCACGCAGGAGGATGGACAGTGAGGCGGGCTGCTGACTGCCTCCCCAGCAGCCATTCTTCCCTTCCTACAGAGCTGGGCTGTTGGGTGGTCAGTGCTGGGGCCAGGCTTTGAGTCACTTCAGGCCTAAGTCATTCTTGGTGCCCCATTCCCCTTTGCCATGTGTTCACTCTCCTGGCCTTCCTTGCAGCCATGTGACCCGGTACCAGCCAAGGAGACTTCTGGGGAAGACCATTGGGGATCTTTTTGGCACCAAAGGGAAATGAGCATGAGGAGAGAGCCCCTGCCTCCCTATTTTGGCTCCTCCCCTCTCCATCCCACTTTGTCTGCTCTCTTGTAAGAAGGTGATGCTGGAGCCATGGCAGCATCTTGTAATCAGGAGGGGAGCCACACTGAGAGTGACTGAATAGAGAAGCAAAAGGGTCTTGGGTCCGCTGGAGTCTTCCACCCAGGACTCTCTTCCTGAACACCTCTTGATAAACGGGATCACGAATGGCTTTGTGGTGAAAGCAGTTTAAGCCTGGGCTTCTCAGAGCGTGTGATGTATGGATGGCGACATCGTCACCACCCGGGAGCTTGTCCGAAATGTAAACCCATGGGCCCCACCCAGCCCAACTGAATCAGAGTCTTTGGGTGGGGAGGCTCGGCATTTTTGTTTTCAGAAGACCTCCAGGTGATTCTGACGTAAGCTCAAGTTCGAGAGCCACTGATTTAAGTCATTGTAGCCTTCCTAAACCTTATCCTGGCCAGGTCGATAAGGAAAGAGCTGCCATTTACCAGTCAGTTCTCTGTGTCCAAATGAGGACCGGCTTTGCCTGTTGGCAGCCAAGTTATGCCAGTGGCGGTGACACAGATCTGTTGACTCAGTGGTTTGGATGATGCTTTTTCCAGGGGAGACCAGTCAGACCTGCCTGGGTTCTGGGGTGTCAGTGTCTGGGTCTACAGGCACCTGTCTGAGCCCAGCCGAGCCCTCACGCCCTGCCACTCCCTGAGGAGCCCTGGAAGTGTTTGGCCCTCAGAACTGAACATGACAGGTAGAGGTATTTGTTTTTCCCTGAGTAAAAGAATTCTTTTTTTCAATCAATAAAGGGGGTGCTGGAGAAGACACCAGACTTAAAGGTCTCACAGATATGAGAATGGAATGGTATCTGAGGTGTTCAGGCGACATGTACTTCCTGGGAGCCTGCCCTGGGCTGAAAGCTGGGAGAGCAGTGGTGGGGCTAGACTGTCACAACCACAGGAATGGTGGGGGATGGGGCTGGGTGCACACAGACTTCTCCTTCTTGGGGTACCCGGGTAAATCAGGGAATGCTTCCTGGAGGAAGTGGCTACTCAGCCGACCCTACTCAGAGTGTGTGTGCTGGGGTAGGGGAGAGGGCGTTCTGGGCAGGGAGCAGAGCTTGTGCAAAGAGCTGGAGGTGAGAGAGACCCTGGCTCCTTGAAGCTGGAGATAGGAGCTCGGTGTGGCAGGAGGGTAGAGTCCCCTGGGAAACGGTCCTGTTCGAGCTCTCAGACCCAGGGACACATCTGAGAAACAGGTTGAGATGTAGACAGAATGATATTTAAATGACTTATTAGTGTGAACTGTGCTCTCATTGTCTTAAATGGAAATGATTTATTTACTGCTTTTTATTATGGCCCATTAAATACTGCTTGGACGAAGCAGGCCATGTCACAAACACTGCTTTCATGTCCCTCCCTGTCCCACCCTGTTCCCTCTGCGATTTATTGTTAGGTAAATATTGATATATACCATTCCTGTGAGCAGAGGCACTTGCTGACTATTTATTTGGGACCTTTGTAAAGCTTCTTTATCTCACCAGGCCTCCCTTTTCTGCTGCTATGAAGTGAACTAAAACAGTATTTCTCTCATGTGTCCGTCCAGTCGTAGGAATGAACCATCTGGGCTGCTTGTTATAAATTCAGGTTCTCTGCCACCTCCTGGGAGATATCAGTTCACCAGGTCTGAGGAGGCAGTTTGGGAATCTGTATATTTTAAATTGATTTTATGGAGTGTGTGTGTGTGTGTGTGTGTGTGTGTGTATGTAAAATTTATGTACATACTTGGGCATAAATTGTATGTATAATTTCTATACAAGAAATGCACCCATCTTAAGTGTACTGATAGATGTGCCTTGATGAATGTACACACTCCCACAATCACCACCACAATCGGAGTACAGACCAGACCGTTCCCGTCACAGCCCCTTGCAGACGTGCCCCACCCTCAGCCCGTGGCAGACACTGAGGTGCTTTCTGTTGCTATAGATTAGTTTTCCCACTCTAAACATTTCGCATCAGTGGAATCACATAGAGCGTACTCTTCTCTTCGGCCTCTTTCACTCAGTATGTTTTTGAGATTCATCCGTGTTGTGTGTGTAAAAGTAATTCATTCCTTTTATTGCTGAAGACTAGTTCTCTCACTTAGAATGTACGAGTGTTTTTGCTGCTTTGCCGTTTTAGCCATTCTCTTGTTGGTGGACAGTTGGTTTGTTTCCAATTTTTGGCAGTTATGGACACAGATCTGTGAACATTCACGTGCACACGGCTTTGTGGGCACACATTTGCATTTCTCCCGGGTAAATCCCTGGGAGTGGGATTGCTGGGTCATATGATAAATGAATGCTCTAACTGGGAAAAGAGTGGCCGAACTCTCTTCCTAGGTGGTTGTACCAGTTTACACTCTCACCTGCAGTCTAGGAGAGTTCTGGTTGCTTTGCATCCATGCCGGCACTTGGTATGGTCAATTTTTCTGTTGGATTTAAATTTTTTTTTTTTTGCCATTCCAGTGGTTGTATAATGGTTTGTTAGTTGTGGTT